AAATACCTTTATTTTGATTTAGGATGCTTGGTAGCATTTATGTAAACATTGCATTCTGTTTTTCATTGTTTCTTACTTTGAAAGTAGAAGATATAATAAGGTAACCCTGCTAAATCTTTTGGAAGTACAATCATTATGTTGTGGGGGTGTTTTAAGAGCTATAAAACACAGGAAATTCTTGAGTCAAATATGTAGTAATTGGGATATATTGTTTAAAATTAGTGATGATAGCTGTCAAAAACATGGTCTTTGGCATGTAAACTTAACCCAGATGATTAGAAAGAACATAATGATTTGATGTTTAAATTTGGGTAGAATAGTAATTTTCTACAAAACATTTTGCAGTATATTTATCACTTAAATGACTGGTAGTAAATGTAACAAATAATTGTCTATCATATTATAAAGAGTTTATAAATAGACTTAAATAGACTTAATAGTTTATACATAGACTTAAATCTCAGTCTTAAATAGATGGGCTTTTTTTTTTTTTTGTCATTTTTTCTTTTCCTTTTTTGAGACAGGGCATTGTGTATCTCTAGCTGTCCTGGAACTTACTGTGTAGATCAGGCTGACTTCAAACTTACAGAGATCTTGCTTCCAGAGTGCTAGAATTAAAGACATGAGCTACTATTCTGGTTTTCATTAATTTTCTTAAAAGGAAAAAAAAAATTTTTGTACAACAGGAGGAAATGTTTCATTTACTAGGAATAGAAGTCATATAAATTAAAAAATTTCAGGATACTATAGAAAGTGGAACTTAATCTGTTTTTTCACTTCTAAAAGTTTAATCTTTTATACAATGTTTATTGATCATTTTTATGCTAATTTTTGGGCAACCTCCAACATGTCTCCCTCGTCCTTTCATGTCCCCTCCCCCTTCCCTTCTCCATAACCTACTGGAGCTAGTTAGTGCTGCCTGCTGGAGTGTTTTGTTAGGTTGGTCTTGTGCAAGTAATTGTAAATGCAGTGAGTTCATGAGTGTATTAGCCAGACATCAGCATTTTACAACACTTCTTCCAATCCTTGCACTGTTTTTATAGTGGTTGCCCTTGTTTGCTAGGACTTTGGCATACATCTCTTGCTTTCCAACAGTGAGACTTAGGACGCTCAAGCTGCAGTGTTCTCCTTATTTTTTGTGATATTTATGCCAAGTATATTACTTCCACAAGATATTGTTGAGAAAGTTATATTTACTTAGATTTACCCTTTTTGTGTATCTATGCCCATGCCCACTTCTGGCTTCCATGAACTTATTCCTTCTGCTAAAAAAAAAAAAAAAATACTCCACAATATTTTGGCTTTTCCTAGCAATATGTATTTTAGTTTTCTGCATCTGAGAGTTTGTTATTTTTATTTATCCATGATCTGGATCTAATTTGGCTGTTCTTTTCTGTTAGGGATTTTCACTGTGATTGTGTCTCAACTCTGTTCCTAGTGAAACTTGCTGTTGGTCTTGTTACTTTCTAGCAGAGAATGAATGGGAAGACTTCTGTGGTTTAAATGCTTTTCTGTTTGACCTTAGTTTTCATATATATGAAACATACACACTCCCTCAACTCTAATAAAAGGTGCCTCCATTTAATTTTGGAGATAAGATCTCTCCACAGCTTTGAAGGTATTAAGTAGGCTAGACTGACTGACTAGTCTCGGGAATCTGCTTGTCTACTCCCTCAGTAGTGCTGGGATTGCAAGTGAGTGCCATCACACTCAGTGTCTCTGCTAAGGTTCTGGGAATCAAAGTCATTTCCTTGCTTGCAGGGCAAGCACTTTACCAACTGAACTTTCTCCCCAGCTCCCTCAAATCACTGTTTGTTGTCATCATATAATACACAGAAGAAAAACCAGAACATACAAACCACAAGAGCTATGAAAAAGCCCAGTAAGACATTTACTCTTTACAGTTATTGACACAAATTTTATATGAAGTTTAGCATATTCAAAGAGATTTTTAAAAATTGGATATTAAAGGGAAATCTGAAAACTACAAAAAACCAAACAGACATTCTACAACTAAAAAAATTCAGTGGGTGGCTTTTAAAAATGGATTACTCATAGCAGACTAGAAACTTTATGAACGAGAAGGTGGGTCAGGTGAAAATATAGAGAGAAAAATCACAGATGGGAAAGGACTACAAGAGACAAAGGGAACAGTGCCAAAAGGTCAGCATGCCTAAAGCCATAATTCCAAAGCATGAAAATTAGTCAAAAGCAGTATTTTAGGAGATGGTCTTAGAAACCAGGATACTTTAACAGTGGCTGTTAGTGTGCAGAGCTGGATTGTTGGTAGCTGGATTGCCTCTGGAGTTCCCATCTGGAAATGAAGGCCTGGAGGATTCCTGGAGATCGAGCTACTGGTCTTCAGTCCATCTTGGAAGGCTGAAGAAACTAGGTTCTGGCGTCAGCACAGCCTGACAGTAGCAGTGGTAGTAAGAAGATAGATGTACTCACAAACGAAGGGTGAAAGCAAGCAGCAAAACCTAGCCTGCTTTCCCCTCATCCTCTCCATACCACTCTGGTGGGATGCCACCAGAAGATGCTGTCCTCTAGGGGTGGAATGAGGATCCTGACTCCCTGCTTAGATCTCCCTAAACAGACATGCTCAGAGGCACATTGATTCCAGTCCAGCCAAAGGGACAACCAAGATTAACCATCACAGTACCTGAAGGATAATGACACTGCTGGCTTCCACACATTGACACACATGATTGGAGCTCTGCTGTAGCAGTCTCATCCTCCAAGTGGTATCAATATTTGCTTCTAGTATTTGGGTCCATATAGTAGCACCCTCAGTATTTTACAAAAGTTGATTTACTTTTCTATGATGGCTGATCTGTTTGTAGTTCACCTTTGCCTGGTGGAACTGTACCCTAAAGTGTGGGAGTTTCCAAAGCTCACTTCCCGATAGTTTGTGGCTGCATTTCCTCCAGACTTCAGTATAAGGCTGTTAACAGACCTGCTTTTTGTTTGTTTTTGTAAACTGTCTTTTAGAACCAGTTAAGAGCATTGTGAAGTTTTGCCCAATTCTAGACTTTGGTAGTCTTCTTTCTCATCCTGGATTACTCTTTTTGGCTCTTATGTGCTTTCAAGCAAAGTTTTAGATTACATTTGTTGTTAGATGTGATGGTGCATACCGGTAACCCCAAAATTCAGGCAGCACAGACAGAAGGAGCTCAACAGTTTGAGAATAGCTTTGACCTGTATCAAAGCAAAAACAAAAATGAAGGAAGGACAGATGGACTATGGAAAATGAGTAAAGTATTGTTTCATTTGAGGTGTAAGGTATTGTCTGCATAGACCAGGCTGGCCTTGCGTTTGCACTCTTCCCACCTCTGCTTTCCAGGTAGTGGAATAGAGATGTCATGCCTGGCTCTCTCAGTACATAGTCTTGAGGGATTGAACCCTGTCACTGCTGTTACTAAACAAAAGAGCCTCCTCTTCTCTCTTCAAGCCAGATTTTTTTTTTTTTTTTTTTGCCTGCACATGGGTGAATTCAAAATACACATATTCTAATTTTCAATAAATACAGAATTTTAGTTCATTTAAAACTGACTTGTTGCGGCTGGCGTTGGCGGCGCATGGCTTTAATCCCCGCCCTTGGGGGGGAGAGGCCGGGGGGGG